TCAATCCCCAGCACCACATGCCAGCCAGCCCCGCCCCCTGGTGGGCTGAGCTGGACACACACACACACACACACACACACACACACACAAATAAAAAAAAAAAAGACTGTGGCCTCAGTTGCATCAATTTACTGATAAATCCTCAATTTTATCTTTTTTATAGCTGAATAATACCCCATTATGTAAAAATACTACATCTTCATTATGCATCCCTAAATTGATGTCATTTAGTTCATTTCCAAGGTTTATCTATGACAAATTGTGCTTCTAACATGGGTGCATATATTTCACAGTGCTGTTTTCACTTCTGGAAAAATACCCAGGAAAGGAATGGCAGTGTTGAATGGGACCTCCAATCCTAATTTCTTGAGGAATCTTGGAACTGATTTCCACAGTGGTAGTACCAGTCTCCACTCCCACCAACAGTGAAGAAGAGTTAGTTTTACCACACAACCTCTCCAGTATTTTTTATTGGCTGACTTCTTGATGACAGTCATTCTTTCTGGGGTGAGATGGAATCTCAGTGTTATTTTAATTTGGATTTCTTGAATGACAAACAATGTCGAAGATTGTTTTATAAATGTATTTTCCATTGGTATCTGTTCATTTATGAAGTGTATATTTATCTCAGATGCCCCTTTTAGACTGGATGTTTGAATATGGGGTGCCTGATTTTTTTAAAAAAAATCTTTACATGTTCTAGATAGAAGGCCTTTGTCAGTTGGCTATAATTTTTTCTGTTTGTGGGTTTTCTTTTTATATGTTTGAGATTTGCTTTTAAGTGCAGAAACTTTTCAAAAAGATGAGATCCTCCTGGTTGATTCTTGAAGTATTTCACGTGAAAATTGGGTTTTGTTCATGAACTCTCTACCTACCCCTATCTTTTTAAGATTTCTACCTACATTTTCCTCCAGAAGATTTAGTATTTTTTTTTCAATAATTCTATTGGTACATTTTATTTTAACTTTTTTTGTGCATGTGTGTTTAGTACATGATCTACAGGGTCTCACTACACAGATCAGACTCATAGTGATTCTCCTGTTTTCAGCCTCCCAAGTGCTGGGATTACAGGTACATCCCACCATGACCAGTCTCAATCGCCGTCTCAGTGTACTCCATAGGCGGGGCTGGCACAGCACACCAGAGATTGAACTGCAGCTACTGTGCTCTGCTAAGCAGGCAGTTTAGTCTGCTGAGCTACCTAGTGTTTCTGTTTTAATGTTTAAATCTTTGATCCATTTTGACTGTAGTTTAGTGTATGGTGATAGAATTGGATCTAATTTTAAACTTCAGCATGTGAAAGGCCAGTTTATCCAGCAACACTTATCAAAGAGGCTATCTTTCTTCCAGTGAACATGACTTCTTCCCCTTTATCAAAGGTAAGATATGTGAGTGTGTTTGTGGTTGTGTCTACCATCATTTAATCTGTTCCATTGATCCTTGGGTCTGTTTTTATAACAATATCATGCATAAAGTATTATGTAGCTTTATAGTATAATTGAAGTATGGGATTATAATGCCTCCTACTTTTCCTTTGTTGCCAAGAATTGCTTTTGACTTTCTGGGCCTCTTCTGATTGCAGATGAATTTTAGCAGTGTTTTCTCTAGCTTTGTAAGATATACAAGTGGTATTTTAATTGGGAATGCACTGAATCTGCATAACAATTTTGGTAGTGTGGCCATTTTTACAGTGTTCCTTCTTCCTATCCAGAATCATGGAATAACTTTCCATTTTCTCAAATCCTTTTCAATCTCTTCTGTCAGAGTATCATAATTATCACTGTAACTCTTGCTTCTTTTGTGAGATTGATTCCTATGTATTTCTTTCCTTTTTTTTTCAGGGGGGATGCTATTTGAAAGGCATTGTTTCTTTAATTTCTCTCTCAGTGTTCATTCTTTGTGTACAAAAATGCTAATGATTTCTGAGTTTTGACTTTGTATCCTGCTACATTACTGAATTTGTTGATTAAATCTACAAGACTCTTGGTGGATTTTTTGGAGTCTTCTATGTAGAATATCATGTCATCTGCAAATAATGATAGTTTCATTTCTTAGTTTCCAATCATTATCTCTTTTATTTCTCTATTTTCTAATTGCTCTGGCTAATGTTTCTAGAACTGTATTAAATAGAAGTAGAGGCAGTGGACATTCTTGTTTTGTTCCTGATTTTAAAGGGAAGGCCTTCAGGCTTTGTCTATTTAGTATGGCTTTTACCTTTGTCCATTTGCTGTTGGTTTCTCATATAGAAGACTTTTATCAGGTTGAGGTAGAGACCATTTATTGTAATTTCCTGTATTTTTTTTTAAATCACAAATGTTAGACTTTGTGAAAAGCTTTTTCTGCATCTTTTGAGAAGATCATGTGTTTTTGTCTTGACTCTATTGATGTAGTGTATTATAATTATGGATTTGCATATGTCGAACTATCCCTGAGTTCCTGGGATTAATCTCACTTGATTGTGATGTATAATCTTCTTGGCAATTTGCTGCATTCTGTTTGCTAGTATTTTATTGAGGATTTTTGCACCTATGTTCATTAGAGAGACTGGCCTGTAGTCCTCTCTTTAGTTGGATCTTTCTTTGGTTTTGGTATCAGGGTAATACTTGCCTCCTGGAATGTGTTTGGGAGAATTGCTTCAGTTTAAATTTCCCTGAAGATTTTCAGAATAGTTGGCATTAAATCTTTTCTTAATTTCTTGTAGCATTCAGCTGTGAATCCATTGGGACCTTCATTATTCTTTGTTAGTAGGTTTATTTTATTACATTTT